CTCTTAGTTCTGCATATCATGTGGTCGCGTCTTTACATCATCCTATCTAATAGGTAGTGGAATTGATTGAAATCCAACCTATTAATAAATTATCAACTAGAACATCCGCATTGTATTTGAGAAGGGACGCAATAAACTTTTATAACAAAGCAACACCTGCGCATACTAATATCATTTCACATACAATTTTTGAAGCCCGTTTCGCCGAATAGCATAATTCACAATTTGCATTTCCAGTTTAACTAGCCCAGGCCTTTTCAAATTTCCTCCTTATACCAGGGTTTCTCAAACTATGGGTGGTATGGTACGATGATGGTTCGTATGATGGAACCGTTCGTATGAACATTGAGTGGGCCCTGCCTATAGAACGACACACCACCCTACCGATCCGAGTCCTTTATTAAGGTATATTGGTAACGGTTCAACTTCCTATAGATGGGTCCTGAGTTTGGGAACTTGTATTAGATGAGTCGTAGCTTGTATTAGATGAGTGAACTTTGGGAACCACTGCCTTATAAAATCCGTTTAGATTTTTGATATTTATCATTTTTAGCAGTTGTGTTTGATTTATTATTGAATCTTGCCCAGGTGGTTCAAGTTTAAAGTCCGTTGGCTATTATAAATAGGGGATTCGACTTCCTGTTCAAGGTGATTCATCAAAAATGATTTAATACCTATCTAAAGGTCATCAAAATAAATATCTAAAGGTCCATAGATCAAGTTTATGGGATAAGAGAGATAGATTTGAAAAAAATCAAGGATAGATTTAAAATTATATGTAGAGCAAGCTAATAATTTCTGACACGCTATCCTACGGCTAACTGCCATATTTTTGAACGAACTGTAATAAAATTAAATATGAATGCATTTACAAATTTCATTACAAACCAATCAAACTAATTGAATTACTCATCGAATTCTGGATTCATTGTATTGTTCTTCTAAGTAATATACCTACTATTCTCTATTTCAATTAAACGAGCATTATTCGATAGGATGATCCAATCTATATTTACACCTATAAAATTTTTAAAACATTAAACAAACAGATTTAATTATGTATAATATTAATAGATTTATTATTTTACTAGCTTTCCGCCCGCGGCTTCGCCCGCGTGGAATTTTGTCTGTCACGGAAAAACTTTATCGCGCGCGTCCCTGTTTCAAAAACCGGGATAAAAACTATCCTATGTCCTTTCCCGGGACTCAAACTATCTCTATTCCTTTCACCCAAATCGATTCAGTGGTTTAGGCGTGAAAGAGAGACAGACAGACACACAGACAGAGTTACTTTCGCATTTATAATCTTAGTATAGATTCAAGTCAATCAATTACTATCACCATATCGCCCACACACGACGGTTTTTGTCTTCCGCAACAAACATAAATATAGCCCTTGGAGTACCTACGTATTTTGCACAATAACATAATTCCGGATTAACAGATTCTGGTTTAATCTGTAGTTAATGATTAACAATGCAGTGTACTTAATAGCCTAAGTTTTTTTCAAATGAATTCCGTCCACTGCTGGACAAAGGCCTCCACCACGAATTTCCAAAACAACCGGTACAGCGCTGCCTGTATCCAGGTGCTTCCCGCGACCTTCATTAAATCGCTGGTCCACCTAGTGGGAAACCTGCCTACACACCTACCTACCAGATATGATTGCGGTCAAATACCTGCCTTGTTACACATAAAAAAAACATTGTTTTCCCTGTGGTCGCAACTTTTCTGCAATCAGTTCATCAACCTAAACTACACGAGTACTTACATAGGCCAAAAGTGTAGCGCCGGAAGTCTTAACATGCTTGCCATATTTAAGTAGGCAACCTACGACGACAGCCGAGTTCAGTGCCTTTAAGTCTAGCATTAGTCATTTAGTATTTTGCCTAGCAAGTACATCGACGTGTTTACGTGACCGAAAGTTCGTAGGTGTGTCCTAACGTACAATCTAAACTTGACCGCAGAGCGCGGTGACACAACTTGACTCAAGCCGTGGTTTTGAAGGCCAAGCTTATTTGCTATTCATTTACATCTGCTGAAGATTATTTATCCACGATTTTTCAGCGATTGAAGTTATTTATACAAAATGCTAATGGACGACGCCTAATTTTTAAAATCAAAAATGAGATTTTTTTTATGCAAAACAAGGCAGGTATTTGACCACAATCGCACTTGATGTTAAGTGGGATGCAGTCTAGGATGGTACATATCTGCCCTGTAAGTGCCTATTCACTCTCGCCTTGAAAAGGCCCGGATTATAGTCTTCGGGAAAGACAGCAGCAGGAATCATAGAAGAACTACTTCATTGTTTAGGTTTCTTTGACGCCCAAGCTGTGCTTTCTGACTGAACAGGAGTTGTAGTAGTTTTCTGTGGTAAATACTTTGGAACCCAATATTCCAACCCTAATATAGACTTGTAAGCTAACATTTCGTTTCAGCCGAATGACGTTCACTGCTGGACAAAGGGCTCCCCCAAGAATTTCCTCAAAGACCGGTCCTGCGCCGCCCGCATCCAGGCAAGCTAGCATACTGATAAAAGCAACAAAAATAATAAACTAATGAATTTCTCTATAATTCCTCACAAGCTGCGTATCATCTTCTAATGCTTTTCTTATGACTATTAAATGCACAATTTATTAGAACAATTAAGTGCCTCAGAGTAGCCGTGATCGTTATTTCAAGGCACGAGACTAGTAACTTTTGGAACGTGTTCCGGAGCCGTTAAATATCGTTTAGTTTTAATGCACTGCGTTCCGCCACGACCGGTCCGGTATCGCACGCGACATATTAGTAGGATCTATACCGAAATACTATCTAGATTTGTTGTTTTCTAGCACGTATTAACCTTTTTCTGACACTTTTTTGCATGAAGTTTAGTCTTATGCAAGGGTAAGACGCAGCATAGACTATCTAACAATAGAAAATCGAAACAATACAGCCAGATTGATTCATGTTATCAATGTCCTTCTAAACTGGAAACCATTAACTATCTACAGTGCTTAAGTATATTATTTTCTATTCATATGTATCGAATCGCACCGTGGTATCAAATCCAAAACCTGCGGTTTGAGCGAAAATAGCCAAGAGAGTCAAGATTTCTAGTCTAGTACGCCTTAAAACAAACAATATCAAAAATTTATATTTGTAATTGAATCGCAAATTGATGACTGATTTTCATAATCGGAAACCATGCTTTCTCTTCAAATATTTTTGTTAATTTTAACAAAAACATGTTTCCTGTGTAATTAATCTCTTTTGCATATTATTATAGTAACGCGTCCATGGTGTGGACTTTAAACTATTTATTTATAGCTAACTAGTTGCTCACCGCGGCTTCACCCATCACTATAGTCGTGTCGTCATTGTTATTGAAATTATAACGTCATCATCGTGCGTCACAAGTTTAAAACAAGTTACTTAATAAAATACGCTTTATTCCTACATTTTAATGACACGATTTTATTAAATATTTCAACCTTTCAATATTTTTTCATCCCCTATTTCACCCCTTCTATTTTGACAAACCAAGTTTTACAAGGTCTCTCTAAAATTATCTCTGTCTACTCTAATAAAATAGTTGCCAACAATAAAAAATGCTTTTGTATTTATTTGGGTACACAGATGATGTTACATACTTAATTTAATGATATACTTATTTAAAATATCTGCTTGACTGACTGAGAAAAAGTTAAATGTTATGTTAAAATATGTTATACTAACGCCAAATCTCACATAGGTACCTTCTTAAACACTTTTTGCACATTCGAATTTAAAGTCCAACAATTGTATTAGTCGCAAATACGGAAGAGGATTTTAATTCCTTTACAATTACCTACTATTGTTATTTTGCCACATGAACCCAATTTACCTTAAAATAAACTAAAATAGTTGTAAAAAAAACTAGTAGAACTACCTGTTTTAAGTCCTTCAAGTTCTATTGTTGAATCATAAACCTTAACCTTTCTGGATGTCATGCCTTCCTGTTTAACTTACTTAAAAAGGAAGAGATTTAAGTTAGTTAATTAAAGTTTGTTACCGCAGAACTCGGTCAATTATTGAACCAATTTAAAAATATTTTCGATTTTTAAGTTTTTTATTTAATATGGTAAGATCCCGAGTCGATGCCATTTATGTTATCAATATTGGGTCAGTAATTCAGTTTTAAATCCAAATTCCTGAAAAAAAATTATTATCAACCATGTAAAGGAAATTGTGGATATTGGTCAATAGAATAGCCTCAACGAACTGTCTATAAGCTACTAAAATCAAGATATAAATAAATAAATTTCAATAAAAAAGACTGGAACAAAGTGCACTAAAACGTAAAATAAACAAACTACTAATTTGAACTTAATATATTTTTGAAGTCAGTTTTCTAATTTTAAACAAAAATATGTGCAGACATTGACCTGCTAGTTGAAATGTCAATTAATCGCACTAATCGATGATTGCTCAATTCACCAAAACTGAACAAAGCATCGCATTTGCATGTTTTTTACAAAAATAAACACGCAGATCAATTTCCCAATTACTATTGTTTCAGTGTCAGTGGCAGGCTAGTTTAAATGACTCAAGTATAATCCGCGCCAAAATAAACTGGTATGTTTTGTAACAAATGTATAAACTCGAATAATATTGATATTATTGCAAAGTGAAGTGACAACTTTTTTGTCCTAAAAGATATAAAATAGCTGAAAAATACACCCAGATAAACTAGAATAGCGGGTTTTGCTTTTCAAAAACATTTTAGAGTGACGTTTATTTAAAGCTCTTTGGAGTCGGTCTCAATTGTTTTTGAATATTTTTTTATCTTAATGCATTTACAAAATTTCTCCTTTGCCTCTGGTATAAAGAAGACCTCCTACAGAGATCTGCTTGACGATCATGATGCATTAAGAAAATTAGTTGACTTGAATGATCAGAAGTTACCAACATAAAAATTGCCAGCCTCCATTGGCGCGAACTATCCTCGCGCTGCGATATACGCCTGCGCGTACGCACTCCCAACATTGCCACCCGAGCAATGGCGTCGCGCGCCTGCCTGCTGCTCGCCCTCGCCGCCGTCGCCGGCGCCCGCGACTGTATCGAACTCACGTTCCCCGACAAAACCATCACCGACTCCATCATCAACAGCACCATCATCAAAGTAAAAAGCCAAAACAGTGAACTGCCCAAAGTAAACGTGGTGCGGCTATGGGACGAGTTCCCGAAACTCGTCGTCCCGAGGAACGGGACGAGCGAGCAGTGCCGACGGGAGAGCCAGCAATTCCTGGATAGCCTGGACAACCTGGAGCTATGGGCGCTGAAAAGTAATTGCATATTTTTAATTTCCATTTAAATTAATTTATTAATTACGCAAGGTAAGTCGACACATGGATCAGTTCTTTCCATACCCTTATTTGGGCTTTTCCAGTTCACTCTCATTAAAACGCATATATTAATAAATACTTAACTATCAATCATTTAATTCATTATAATATTTATTATAATACATAAGTAATAAATGATTAAGCTATGACTGTATCAAATGAAAAAATAATCTTGAAGTAACAATATTTATGGTAACGTTCATAAACAATATTCTAGGGTTTTTACCATTTAGATGTTTCATGAAAATATTCAAATATTTATAGAAGAATACCTAGAACTTTCAACGCTACCCCAAACAAGTAATTAAAAATTCACTATGTGTTTTAATTAATACAATAATATTTTAATTTAAGATAGTTTTTAGGTATGCATGCATGCAAGTTTTAAGTTTTCATGTGTTTTATAAACAAAGGTAGACGTAAAATATTTTGCATGTGCGGGTAAACCACAGTTTAAACTATTAAATTGTGTGTAATGTTTGGATTCTGTTACGATTAGGTAAACGATTAAGTAGGTAGTTTTACAGTTTAAGAAGCTTTCAGACGCTGAAGGCCTAGATTCCCTCCACCAATTTCTCATGGTAATCAAACGCATTGCAATGTGCCAGAAATTCTTTTTAATCTATCCATAGCTGAAACATATTTTAACAATGTATCAAAACATTTCAAAAACTTAATACTTAAATTATAGCCCATTAATATCTGAAATAAATGAAATAATGTAAGTACCTACCTACCTTTCAAACGGTGATAGACTTTTTTAATAAAGCGCAATAGTTCCAAAGATAAATAAGCGAAGTAGCTAAATTCTCACTGTCATAATAAACAATTAGGCCCAGAACAGACGGTGAAACGCAACTGCAACTGCTAGTTACTTTTGAGTTGCATCTAAGTTTCTGCCATAGCGTCCGTTGAGAGACCACACATGACGCGACCAGTTTGAAACTTTCAGTTTCAGTTTCATTCATGAGAATCATCAGTTTCGTTGCAGTTGCGTTTCACCGTCTGTTCTGGGCCTAACACTGTGACATGGCATGTCAAAAGCCAGGCCCTCCCTGAAAAAAAACCCTAGATACGCCAATGATGATCCATACCACAAAATGGTTTAGCCCACATTTTTGATCTGTGTGACATTACGCCTATTAGTTAGGTACCGTATGTTGAATTTGCCTTTTGAAGATTCACTAGTGATAATAAATGTGATAAATAAGCCGAGGTGACAAAACATTATTATGTATGTTATATGCAAACATACGTAAGATAGTTTGTATGTGACACCCAAAATAGCTAAATGGTTCGCAAGCGCATCGTCTTTGTTACAATTGGAATAAGGTGACGTTACCAACTTTTTGGCCACTTTGGGTGTCACGAACTACGAGTATTTGACGCTGGCTATACGACAGTACATCAAGCTAAAATTGGGGACATTTCAGTTAGTTTTATTAAGTGATTTAACAAAAAAATAGTTTATATGCCGTCGACTGTACAGCATGTACCCTCAAAAATAAAACCTCGCTTTAAGGAAATTTAAACGTCTAAGTCAGTGTTTCCCAAACTATGGGTATGTTTGTATGCGCAATGGGTCGCGAGCGAACATTGAGTAGGCCCTGCCTGTCGACACACCACCCTACCGATCCAACCTCTGGGCAGCGGGCGAAATGTCCTTTAGGTGGGTCCCGAGTTTGGGAACTTGTATTAGATGAGTCGTAGCCCAGACAACTTTGGGAACCACTGGTCTAAGTAATTAAACGTAAAATGTGTAGTTCTAGCTGAAACCCAGAAGTTTGTCAAAAGTCGAGTGCTTTTAGGAACATTAGGCGCGTATTATAACCGGTCAAGTAGGTAAGTATCTGAACTTATGAAAAGCTGGAATATTGATTTTGACAAATCCCAAATTTGGATGATCCCAAGTTCCTATTTTATTTTTTATCACATTCCACCAGGTGAGTGCTAGGCCAATCTTCCTCGTTGTGGAAAAAAAAAAGCCTTTCATCTTGGGCCCAAAAATCTTTTATTTTATAAATTCCCGTTAATTTGCAGAATATGGGTCATAGGTATGTCTTTCAGCGTAATGAGGGTTATAAAGCGGAGGGTAGAAACCCAATTTTGTGGGGTGCGAAATAAATTAAGGGTCACTTGATATTTTTTTCTGGCTTGAAAAACTGGCTCTTCCTTTGTACTCTAATATTTAGAATAAATTATTTTTTTAAAAATGGTTTGATGAAATTGCGTCTTCTTCCTAGGATTAATTTAGCTATTACGATGTTATAATTAGACGACTATTTTAAATAAAAATGGTTAAGATTAGAATGTGGTAACCATTAAATAAATTATAACAAAACTTGAATCACGTTGTTTACTCAACCTAATACGTATTAACGCTCGTATTCACAAACATTACTATGAAGTCTCACAGTGCGCGTGGACGCACAGCGTGACATATGAACCAATCACAGAGCTCTATTCAACGCTGTGCGTTCGATTTGCTGCTTCACTTAAGCAAGCATCGTTTGTGAATACGGGCATAAGCCTCCATCAATGTAAGTTTGTCAAAAGTAAATCACATTTTATTTATTTATTACTAAACGTAAACACTTTAACACCCTACTTTCATGTAGGTACTATTACTATTATCCATTCATATCATACTATTAATATTATTACTCGCAACGTGGTTTGCTAATTACACAATTTTTAAAACAGCTTGCTACGCAGATTCGCTTCGATTGTCGGTCGATGACACCGGTTATTAATTTGTCACCTAATCTACCTATTAATTATATTATTATTATAATTAACCAATTGAACAACGGAGAAGACTGTCTTAGGTAGGTATACCACAAATAAAGCTCGAAAGTTTGGATGGAGAACTTGGAAATTTTTAGTTTTTGTATGAAGAAAAGTGTTTCAGAACAGTTTTTTGTTCGTAGATATACTGTTTTTTTCGAGATATATAACTAACACCTTGTTGTCTCAGTATAAACTTTAAAAACAATGCAATTTTAAAAATAAATATTTTTACATTTTGCTATTTTCTAAACTCTGATCAGTTCCGTGGAATTATACATACATACATTATAATTAGTCACGCTAAGAATATTATCACTGCGTTAAATTAATAACACAAAATCTCAATAACATAATACTCATACTATCGTAAATGATAAATTACGTACCTTTAGCCCTTCGGGTTCGTACACTTCCCCGGTCCACCTGACCGTGTAAATAGGTCAAGGTACCATAACACCCTTGCAAGGATTTCGTTAATAAACAGGTACAACAAATAAGTTTCATATTATCTTCTATTGTATAAAAATGAATCGCAAAATGTATTGGTAAGCGCATATCTCCATAACACCTGGACCAATTTTACCAATTCTTTTTTTGAATATTAGTTGAAGTCCAAAGATGGTTTTACGGCGAGAAAAAATCTAATAATTTCCGGGAAATCCCTAAAAACAGCCCTTTTTTCACGCGGGTGACACCGCGGGTGGAAAGTTAGTTTAAAATAAAATAGTTTTATATTCTGTAAAGAATGGACATAAGAGTGGGTACTTTCAATGTAGAGCGAAGTTAATTACTTGTTCTTCTTTAAACATAAAGAAAACTGAATATATTATTTTAAGAAACTTCACTTTTCAATCGTTTGTCGATCTTGTGGGCTGTTACTACTATTCTATTGAATTAAGGTTACAAAGCTTGAATACAAAAACAAGTCGGTGTTGATTTTTCTACAAGTCCATTACAAAAGGGTAACTGAATTTCAACATCGTAATTTGAAACATTTTGAGAAGTTCGGTTTCCAATAAATTGGGAAACTTTATAATAATTTCATAAAACAATAACGGTAAAGGTATTTTTATAAAAACTAAAAAGTCTCTAGTTCATAAGGAGCCCTTATTGTTTTTCCAAACGTCTTTTAAACATAAAGGAAGCTGTGAAATGTTGTGGTTATTAATGTGAGTATTGTCACACCACGTATACTCAGTACCCACTTATTAAAAATGTCGGTCAAAGTTGTATTTTTCGATTTTTACGTGTCGAATTTGATCTCATTGAACATCTTTCGTGGAAAGCATTGGGGGAGGCCTATGTACAGCAGTTGACGTCCTATGGCTGAAATGATGATGATGATGAACACCTTTGTGTTTATAACTTTTATAAGTCGCGGTTTTATTATGCACATGACTAAAAGTGATTACGGCTTAACCTTAACCTTAACCGTAGCAAAAGCTGTTTGTTTAAGCTTTAATCAGTTTATTTTGTAATCGAATAAATGTTTCGATTCTGTATTTTTATTGTTACAACTCCAAAAGCGCATTAAAACAAAACAACGCCTACTTAATGTCAAAATAAGGTATTATTTCATCCGACGTTAATTAATTAATGTTCCTATTAATGAACATTGGTATTAACACGAGGATACAGTCAGACACATGAATCAGATTTAATAACTTACGTGCCCTTTTGCAGAATGAAAGTCAAAGGGATAATGTCCTTGATTTTCAAGTTTGTTTCTATATTTTTCTGTAAATTTATGAAAAATATAGCATAATATTTTGCCTCAATAAGTCAACCCTTATTTCAATTAAGATTATGATAAGGTAACTAAATAATAAGCAACGTTATAAGTTGATCTATGAACACTTTTAATAATGTTTTATTACAAAGTTAATTTTGTAATTAATTAACTCGTTAATTCATTCATAAACATGTCATATCCTGTTACTAATTATTATAATATGAAAGATTAAAATTCCACGAAAGTCTGGGAATGGTTCTTAGAAAACTACTACCAATTCTACGGACTACGGCACATCAAGCTACGAGTATGTACACAGTGGCATTTTACGTTTTGTACTTATTACTATTTCCAAAAAACATGTACAGTCTGATGTGCTATCGACTGTACATCGCCGAAACCCGAGTGACCCGCTTGC